CAGTGCTGATAACCAATGGGAAAGTATTGATAAAATGCATTGATACTGAAATCTTAAAGTTTTCACATTTTTCAAACATTTAATCTTTGATTCTTTCAGTAGATTACTCTTTAATAAAAATCTTAAATTAATGGAAGATTCATTCCATTTACATCCTTTGATTAGTGAAGGTAAAGCAACAATCCATTCATTAGAATGTACAAATTCTAACTGCAAATTAGACCGTCGAATTTGCAAGAAAAATTTAAAGATTAAATTGGAAATTAGTGAAACAATTTCGAAGAGAAATTTATATTTGTATTTTCTGATATGAATCATTCCGGAATTCATAAAACAAAGAAAAATTTCAAGAATTCTTTGCGAAATGATCGTATGGAATGCAACAAAATACAACATTAAACGATTTTTGACGGTATCTATACTTAGCGGAATTACCGCTAGGATCACCAGAGCGAGATGGAGGGGAAAGACCTCAAGGAAAGCCAGGAAAGCCAAGGGAAGATGGTTTGTCAGGACCACGAGGGATACCGGGACCACCAGGTCAACAAGGTGAGCCAGGTATCAGAGGAGAAAAAGGACCAAAAGGACTGAAAGGTCAACGAGGACCACAAGGGTCATTCTGTCAGCGCTGCTGACATTGTGGTATTATATATTGTGGTATTATACTTTTAGTAACATCAATTGACAATTATTCAATTTTCCAGTTCGATACAGTCAATACGATATTACAATTTGTCGCAGGTTTAAAAAACTCGTTTCATCCTGCCTTTTACTCCTTCATCTTCACCATGCACTTGGCTGTGCCAAAGCAAAAACTCTCCCAAACCAAACAAAATTCACATCAATAACCAACCTTATAAAATCCGTGTTGAAGGGATCCGAAATAAATGGACGACTAAAACTATATTTGATCAAGCGAATCAGATGATGAACTTTGATACTGATGCTTTTCATATTTGATATCGCAATCCGTTAATTTTTTTCTCACAGCAGTTCAACTTAAAATGAATTTCGTTTTGAAATAATAGATGCTAAGCTGCTCTACTTCCACAAATTACCTTCCACCGATAACACAGCAATTATCCGTCCTTAATTATCTGTTCTTAACAACACAATAATTAGCAAATTAAATGAGACACAAAGGTAAATTTCAAATTTCCAAAGGTTTGAAAATCGAAAGAATGAGAACCATTTGGAGTATTTCCACTCGTGAAGGAGTTTTTGTTTGTTTACAGACGAATTGTAGTGAAAGCTGTTAATAAACTTTTTGCGATTTTTATGTTGAAGGAAACTCATACAAGAAGTTGTTGAAACCGTTTGAATAGAATCCGATATTATTGCGGTTGCACTAATATGCATATAAAAAGTATTGCATGAAGAATCACTGGAAATAAAAAGGAAAAAAAGAAATATCATTTCAATATCTAAATGTCAATTTCGTTTAAAAACCATTTATTTTAAGTAATTACTGTAAAGAAATTGAATGAATGAACTTTTTAATATATTATAATATATCTTATATATTTCGCGCTTGAAAAGTTTGTTACAAAGTTCCATAATAGATGGACAGTATTAAACTGAATAATTGAAATATTGCCAACTGATGGCACACTTCGTTTATATCTACGGTCACTCCATTGGTTATCTCTTGTTAACAGTTATTGCGGAATGACTAACGAATAACTCGTAGAACTTCGAATGAAACTTCATCTAAAGATTTGATTATTGTGGAATTCATTTTGCATATATAACTTCTTTTAATATATGTGAAATTAAATAGCTGTTGAAATAAATATGAGCAATGATAAGGATGTAAACTAGGCTGTGTCTTTAGAGTGATTTGATCCAAAAGGTGATATAATCAACAATTACAGATTATGAAACAAGCGTAATGAGTTTATTGGTCATCTTATTAGCAATTCCTGTGGATTAACCTACGAAATTATTCGTAAAATTTTATCGAATATGTTTCATCTAAGTTTTTGTTTGGAGGAGTTTGACCAATAAAGTACAAAGGCCAAACGCAAAATCTATCCAGCAACCTGAGCAACCTTATTTACAAACATCAGCTATCATGACACTATTTCATTGAAATTGTTAAGAGAACAAAGGATTTCTCCGAATCGGCAGCTGAATCCTTTTGTAGACGGAAGTTTTCAATCAAAGTAAGCAGTTATTTTTCCTCATACTCTGCTCTGAAAGCTGTTGAAAATTTTTTTAATAATACTATCTTCCACACTACAATATACTGTTTTGCATATTCAGGAAGTGGACCATTATTTGAAACTGGTGAGAAGAAATTAGATGAAACTGGACAATTTAAGGAGCTTTTTCGAAAAATAAATAAGTAACTGGCCTAAAGTAACCTAATCATTTATGTTTCTAGAAGAATCAGAATCTGTTCTTCCGTACATATTCCCGGATTCTCTATCAACTGCTGACCTTCTATCTTATCTGTCAGCTGAATTTAATCTTCTTTCGGTTCACTCTAAATTATCATTTAAAAGGATCCGTTTAGCTTTCATAAAAACCATCAATAACCATTTAATGTTACACTTTACTGCATTTTCATACAGGCATTCAACAAAAAATTCTTAAAATGTTTCTTTG